GGTGTTTAGAGACCAGGAGGAGAGGGAAACACTGAGCAATGCTTAAGGAGGTGACTCGACTGGGTGTTACTTGTCATGTGGCTGAATCCACCCACGCATCCCTATAGCATGGAAGTTGTTTGGCCTCATGGGACAAGGCTCTACAGTTGTCATTATTAACCCGAGCTGGACTAAACGTAGCAGCTCCCACAAACACCCAAACTGAGAAGCTGGTGGGGGATCCATGTGGGGCTGGGGGAGGCAGCCCCCTTGGGTTCCTGTCATCTTCGCTGCGCCACAGCTGGGAGCAGCACCCACGAGCTGACAGTCCTGCATTTAGCAGTTTCTCTCCAAGGTCCTCCCTGACCACGTGGCAAATCCTAAGGACCAGCGCAGAAGCAACTGGACGTTAACCTTCCCTTGGGCCGCGTGGCCGGCCCCGGCTCCGGCTGCCAGCGATGACTCGGCTTTTCCTCCCGGAGCCCGAGCACATGTGGCTCACATCAGCGTGCTCTCGATTCATTCTGTGTTCAGACCACTTGCCTCTCACGTTCTCATATTTACACATGTTCACTGAACGTAACCCCAAGTGAATTATTTAAGAAGTCTTAATGTGCTTCAGACTTCTCAAATAGAATTTAGACTTTAAATTAAATTTGTTCTCCTGTGGGAGCCGAGGAGGTGGAACGCAGCACAGAGCATCGGGCGGACGTGCAGCGGGCCTCTGAACAGGAGCTCAGGGCCCTGGCCGGTGTGGCTCAGTGGTTAGAGCGTCAGCCCACGCACCAAAGGGTCAAGGGTTCGGTTCCAGGTCAAGGGCACCTACCTGGGTTGCAGGCTCTGATCCCCGGCCCCAGTGAGGACATAGGCAGGAGGCCACTTATCAGTGTGTCTCTCTCATATCGACGTTTCTCTCTCTCTCCCCTCCCTCCATCTCTTCCACTCTCTCTAAAAATCAATGGGGGGGGGGAAATACCCTCCAGTGAGGATTAACAACAACAGAAACAACAGGCGCTCAGGTACCTCTGAAGGATTTCACCTGGTGGCTGTCACTCCGTGGAGGGCGAAACAGGACTGCAAAGTTCAACTTGACAGCAGCAGAGCCTGCCCTGCACGAGATAAACAGACTGATGAGGCTCCGTGGGCAGGAGTGGGCGGGGAGAGATTGAGCAGAGAACTGATCCGCGTATATGCACAACCCAGGGCCACAGACAATAGTGTGGGGAAGGCCTGGGGGCTGGGGGG